GCGCGCGCCTCCGAGCGCTCGAAGCGGCCCCCGCCCCGCGCCTCGTGGCTGTCGCCGTCGGCCCGGCGGGAGCGCGCCCCGTACGAGTCGGCGAAGGCCGCCAGTTCGTCCATGGACACGGCCGGCACTCCGGCGGCGAAGTTCTTCCGGGACAGCATCTCTGACTTGGAGCGCTGCTGGCTGCGGGCAGAGGGCAGAGGGGATGGCGGTTAGCCGGCCCTGGCCCGCACCCAAGGTCGGCGCCGTGTGCCAGGCCGGCGGGGGGGTGGGGGGCGGCAGGGAGCCTGAGCGGGACGCAGGGGCCGGCTGAACAGTCCTGGTCACCTCTGGCGCCTGGGAACCTCAGACAGTAAAGTGAGGGCAACCGTGGCTACCTCCAGGATTCGTGCTAAGGATCAAAACGGAGTTGTGTGGATAAAAATACTTTGTGATTTATATGGTGCTGCAACACACAGTGGGGCCTTGTGATCATTATTCTGTGGCTTCTGGTTGACAAGCACATGTCTCACTTCTCACACCCTGGAAGCCAGCGTGGGTGGTGTGGCTTGCGATGCAAACAGTTGTGGTCCAAGGATAACCCTGTAATATTTGGTGATATACAGAAAAGCCTGTGCCTCCCTCAGAGCCCACCGCCAAGTAATCTCTGCGAGTTATCTGCAGTTGGTAAACCAGTCTAAGAGAAAGGCGATGTCTACTGTCCTTCAAGGTAAAGGACCGGTGAGTGGTGACCGTGCTATTCAGTGGGAAGAAGCCATACAAAACAGGGTGCACATCTTGGCCTCCCACACCATTGGCCAGGTGACTCTAGGTAACATCTGTACATTTCAGTTTCCCCAACTTAAAACGGGACAAGAACAGTACCTACCTTTTAGGGTTATGAGAATCAAACACAACAGTATAACATGTTTGGCATTTTACCTTTCACATAACAATGATCAAAAATGATGGAAGGGCACCTGGGTGGCTCAATGGGTAAAGCATCTGCCTCTTGTCTGGCTCAGGTCATGATCTCCTGGGTTGTGAGATGGAGCTGATGCTGGGAGTCTGCTTGAAGATTCTCTCCCTCTCCCCCTTCCCCCCACTTGCTCTCTTTCTCTCTCTCTCTCTCTCAAATAAATAAATCTTTTTTAAAATGAGGGAGATGATGGATGGGAATTTTTAGAGGTTATAGGAAAAAATATTATGAGAAGGGCAAGGAAATGTTAATAAGGTTCATTAAGGAGAATAGAGTACCCATTTCAAAGGGACTTGAATGACCGTTGCTACACATGGTGTCACAAGTGTTCCCTTGCTTAATAAATATGAGAAGGGGATGCTCAACAGCCCAAAGAGAGGTGTGGCAGGACAACCTAGAATGGGAGACAGAGATGCTATCAGAAAACAGTCTCAGAGCCACCCTGCCTTCCAGTTCCAGCCCCTTCATCCCCAGCACCAGAACTGCAGCCCCGGCGCAGCCATCTTCACCCCTACCTGAAGCTCTCCCGGTCCTCTTTGTTATACTCCATGGCTGAGGGCCCCCGGCTTGCCCCACTGCTGCCCCCCATGACACCTGACCAGTAGTCAGGATTGCTCTCCAAGTCCCCGGACACAGGGAACTGCTTGCTTCTCATCTGGTGGTAGGCCTGGCGGAAGTTGCTGTCCTCCTCATGCAGGGAGCTGAGTTCAGAGATGGTGTTGTTATCTGCAGGGACAAAACCAGGCATGACAGAGCTTTCTACATACTAGGGTGGGAACTCTGTTAAGGGCTGAGACCAAGGCTCCCTCCCCAAGGCTTCAAGCCTGTTCCAGTTTGGTTGTAGACCTGAACTAATGGGGTTTGTGTTCTTAGCTCAGCAGGAACTGGCTCCATCCAGAAGCCCACTGGCTTAGAGAGGGGGAGGCTTCCTACATGCTCTGTTCTTAGAATAGGAAAACAATTGTTATTGTTCCATCTAAGGCATGTTTCCCAGAACTTGGGCTCTTTGCAGCTGGTTTCCTCCTAGGGCATCGTCATCCTTGTTCCAATGTTTTTCTTCTTCTTGTATAATTCTGTGAAAGTCATGATGATCCCAGGCAGGTTGAGCCAAAAGGGGCAAAAAGAGAAGAGAAGCCACAGTTCACAAAAAAATCTCCCTTACTGTTGACCGCGTCCCAAGATGGGCCTTCAGAACCAGTACAGCCCCATGCCTTAGAGGAACCCCATTTCAGCCTCCTTCAGCTGTGCCCTTCACCACAGAGCACAGTCCACAGGGGCAAGGGGACTGCACACCTAGTATCCAATCATCCCCTTTCTGGATGCTCATCCAGGAACGTGGACTATCTTTCCCAATTGGTACCAAGTCCATTTCCAGGGCCTACAAAGACTTCTTTGCCTCCCTAAAAAATATTCCAGGTGTATGTGGCCATGGGTGGCTAGGACAGCTGGGCAGAGGTGTGGTAAGAAAAGAGGGGCGGCTGCACTTAACGGCCTGTTGGCCTCCCCTTGTACTCTTCCTAAAAGGCGGTGGGGGGATGGTCACAGTTTTCTCATTTCCTAAAGTGGCTTAAGTAGCATTTTGCAAAAGCACTTATGAAGAAGACAAGAATCAGTCTAGAAAGAAAGAAAAAAAAAAAAAAACCCCACCATTTGTTTACAGAACTTTGAAATGGATTGAATATCATTTTACTGAAAAAACACATTTAGTGATTCTATTTGCAATGCAACTGGATCCATTTGTTTTCTAAAATCCTTTGGTTAGAACTTCAAAATATTATCAAAATCAACATTTATAAGGTGTAAGGTTTGGCTGTTGAGTAAAAGGTAAGCCAAGATAGGATGTGGACAGCACAAATATGTGTCTCAGGTTCCCCTCTACTTCTCTTCCTTATCCCCAAGAGTTCTTGGAGGAGCACTCCCACCCACCAAGGAAAGGAAGGGCCTCCGCTCCCTCCCCCTGTTGCATAAACACAGCCTCCTTGTCCTATTTTACCAGGTCTGGGCTTCCTGCGAATGCCATTCATCTTGGACATGCAGTCAGTTGGTTTTGAATTATAATCTAATTTTTAAGCATTTTCCTCCTTCTAAGGAGAATGGACTAGTAAGTGTCCATCTGAAAGGAAAATAACTCAGATACTACTGATCAATAAAATCTAGAACCTTCCTTTTCTCATGATCCCAGTGAATTCTAATCCCCTGGGAACAGTACAGAAGGGAACTTTAAAAGGCAGCAAGTGAAACTATTGGAAAATCCCATTGTTGGCTCAGAACTTTCCTTAAACTTCAGGGAATAATGGATCTTTTCCGTTTCTCCACATAGTGAGGGCTATCTCAGTTTCGCCATTCATAGTGACGGACTGCCTAGGTTGTATGCTGCCGTAACATTTCTGCCACGTTGAACATAAACATCAACATCCCTGCTTCACAAACACCTCATAATGTAACTCTGGGACCAGGCAAACTTTTTCTGTATGGGGCCAGATAGTAAATATTTTTGGCTTTGCAAGCCATACTGTTACAATTATTCAACTCTGCCATTGCAGTGCGACAACGTATAAGTGAACTGGGCTGGCTCTGTTCCAATACAAACTATTTCCAAAAACAGGAGGTGGAACGTATTTGCCCTGGGAGCTGTAGTCTGCAAGATCACTGCACTGGGCTTCTGGACTAAAAATATCCCAAGAGCAACCCCCTACCTACAAGGGGCAAGGAAAGTGAGGACCTTACTCACAAATCTCGCAAATTCTTGAACCTGAAATTCCCAGTTCTTACAGAATCTTGTCACAACCTGAAACCATGAGATACATTTTACAATAAGATCTTCTAGACCGCCCCATGGCCATGATCCACCCCAGGGTTTACTCTGCTCTTCAGAAAGAGAGCCTCGCAAAGTCAAGTGAACTGTATTCCTACTTCATCTCTATGCAATTATTGTAATGTCAACCTGCAGGTTCCAGGAGATCTTGGTTCCAGTTCTGGCTCCGGCACCTCCGACCTAAGGTGCCAACACTGGGTACTTTCTTCCTTCTCTGCTTCCTTTCCTCCTCTGAAAAATGGGAGAGGTGGAGTGAACCACCTCAATCTCTTCTGTTCCAACATACTAAAGTCCTCGGAGGTAGAAGGCTGTGATCTCTCAACAGAAACAGCTGCTGCAGCCATGGAGCCATTCAGTTTGCTCAAAAACATTTTGTGTAAAGAGCACAGGACTGGGAATCGGAAGAGCTGGGTTCTAATCCCAGTCCGGTCACTCCAACCCTCTGGGTTTCTGTTTCCTCACCTGTACATTGTGAAGAAAGACCTCGGCCATCGCTAAGGTCCCCTTGGGTGCTCAGATGCCATTACCATCTGACCAGCCAGTCTCCAGAGACCATTTTAATCCAGGTAGACAGGAGACATCACCTAAATCAGGATCCATCCTTTAGTTTTAACCTCAGTTTTTTACTCTTTCTCTGAGCTGAGAGATTCACAGATTTCCTCCCTAGGCGCCTTCTCCTGGATCGCTATCTCTGTCCCCTTACAGGGCTCCATGACAACACATTACAACTAACTTGTCAAATGCAGTGATATCTACATTCCTGACATTCCAATCTGGAGATGGTCTTTTTATAGCCGGTGCGGTGGGAGGATGCAGCAATGGATGCAGCTCAGACAGGATGAATTTAGCATTGCAGACTGGGAGGAATATGTTGTCCTTAATCTGAATAAAGCACCTCTAGTCTGGGACTGTTTCCCCAACAATTCCATCAAGCCTCTCCTCAGCTTCCATGGTGCGGAGGGTTCAGAGAGAGAGAGAGATGTTGTGACCTCACTACCGGGCCTGCCAGGACCCTCCAATAACTAGCCCGTCCATGTCAGACCTGCCCCGCGCTGTCTCTTCGTAGATGGTCATTCAGAATCCACCCCAAGTAATGAGCTGTGTCAGCTGCAGGGTGTCCAGGGGCTGTGAGTGAAGGCTGGGGCCCTGCCACCTACAAACTCAGTAATCTAAAAGTTCTTTTGACAAGAGGGGCAGCCTCTTCGCTGGCCCTTCAATCTCTGCTGTTGGGCATCTCAGAGGGAACACAGGCCTCTTTTTTGTAGACTCCTTGGGCAGACTTGTCCTTCTACTTCACCGAGGCCTCCATGTAGCAAGTCGGCAGCTGGACTGCTGTCCAATGGTAGGGGTTTTCACTTTGGAAAAAAACTCACATCTTTAGTCATTATTTTCAATGTATTTTAAAGAGAGTAGTAGGGAAGGACTCTTTGAATAAAACATTTCTAAGCCCAGGACTGCCTAGGCCCAGCAATGCTGACTGCCCCGTGGTGAGAAACAGCATTAAGCCAAGGTGGTACACACCGGGAGCCCTTTTTCTCCCTTCTGTGTACTTGGAGCTACTTTCTTCAGGACACCACCAGCACCCCTGCTAGTTCTAAGCCCTGAGAGCTCAGGGCTGCCCAAGTTTGGTAACCCCCCAATCCCCTTTAGCCATGAACGCCTGCATGATGCACAGATCACATAGAACCAACAGACGCTCACATCTGCCTCTCATCCTTCTGGCTGGATCAAATTGAGCCAGTTCCTTCTCAACGTAGTACAGGACCTTCATGGAGTCTCTCTCTTTGTCGGCTTGAATCCGGTAACCTTTGCGAACTGTTGAGAAAAGGACAAGAAGGGGCACTGAAAAAAGCAGGAGGGGGCCTCCCTTTATTTTTACCAAGTAAAACACATAGTTCTTGCTTATGACAACTCTTTTTGAAATCACCAGAAAGAATTATCTATATTTATACTTATGGAACCATACCTGCGATCCCTTTTATCAGATGGTGCCCCTGGAATGGAGGAACAGCAGGTAAACAACAAAGTTCTATTACAGTACATTTTGGGTCATTTGTTAACTTCTGCTTCCTACTTGCTGACCTCCTGTAGCTCCACTTAAAGCTCACGGAAGCATACTCACACTAAAAAGACAGTTTTTTAGACTGAGGACACAGATGACTCTGTACCATCTGAGGATCATGTCTTCACTTGGTGGGAGAACGTGAAAATAAAACAGACACCCAAACATCAGGGACCTTGACGAAGGTGGCCCGAAAGCCTCTAGTTTCACAGGAGATGATGCAAAAATTCCACAACAGGGTGGTGCATGGGAGCCAGTATGATAGACTAAAGATGCATTAGTGCAAAATAAGGTGCAAAACACATGGATTGCTAATTATGGTTCCATTTTATTTCTTTGACATTTCCCTTTCAGGAAAGGGAATACCATATTCTAGGCATGATTAATTCAACCTGCTGCTATGTGGTTACAAGCAGGTGTTATTTTGGGGGCTTAATAAAAAACAAAACTAAAGCATGAGAGATAATACCATCTCCTACGTTCCCATCACTCATACTGTCAGGAACAAAGGCTGTTTAAGCCCCACATCACTTAGTATCAGTCAAGGCCAATACCAGCCCCAAGGGTGATCAGACACAGGCAAGTGTAATGTTCACAAATACGAGAAATAAGAGAGAGAGAAGGACCCAGTGGAATGGGGACAGAACAAATGGTAAGAGACAACACCCATTGTGCACTGCAAATGTGCTAGGTACTGTGCTAAATGCTTTATATGGACATCTGTTCCTCACCACCCCTAATGAAGTTACTATTAGCCTCAATTTATGGTTGAGAAAATTTTGGTTCAGAGAGGTTTCATAACTTACTCAAGAATAACTGGTGGCCCTGGGGCTAGAACTACGTAATCTGACTGAAACCTCTCTGGAGCCCAGAAGTAGAGGTGGTAAGGAGAGACAGAAGAGGAAGACAAGAAAGCCCAGAGTAGGAAATGCTTGTAGGTGGGCCAAGGGCAGTATGATCTGAGGCACAGTCCTATCAGTCCTATCTTCTGGCCAGTCAGGACTATACAATGGGATGGAAGCAAGTAACCCAACTCCCAACATTCTCGGTTCCCAAAGTAGGGCAAATACCGTAAAGAAACCACATGGCCGCCTGCACCTCCCGAGGAGACTCGGCTTTCTGCTCTCTGGTCATGTCACCCTGGCTGCGGACAAAGTCCCGCACACAAACGATGCACATGGAAGATTAAAATACAGTACTGCACAGCACTCCGATCACAGCCCTGGCACTGAAGACTGAAAGGACGCCCCCACACCTGTTTTCAGGTGCACTGATTTTCTATCTGAGAACATTCTGGGCCGTTCATATTCACCTCAAATTGTGGAATTACTTTAAAAAATTAATGAATCTCAGCATACGCTTTTAAGTGGCACCTTCTCCTGGAGGTTAGATCCATAATCCTTATGCCGAAGCAATTATTAGTAGGAATGATTTTATTTATCAAGCTACACACTCTTCCATTTCTGCAGAGGCGTTTACAGAGTTGTACAGACAGTTCAATTAAAATGCAATTATCCCACGGAACTGCTATGTCTGTTCTGAGGCACTTATGTCTGATGGATGAAACACAGGGCTAGGAAGTAGGGAACCAGGGGTTTGTAGGCATGCCACTGGTTTATTGAGGGACCTCAAATGATGACCTAGCAAGGACCCAGTTTTCATGTCCGTAAAATGCAACTAATACTTCCCAACCTTTCTCTTCATAAAGAAGACAAATATAGAAACAAATTAAAAAAAAAAAAAAAGAAGACAACAAAGACCAAATCATTAGAGTACTTTGAGTTCCTTGTAATTATTAGGGGCAGCTCAAATGACACCACATCCAAAAAGCTTTTTCTGATTCTCATAGCTAGAAAGTTCTATTTCTTCTTTCTCTCTCTCCATATCATTTCTCTCTTATAAATCATTTACTCTGAACTTTTGTTATGACCCTCAATATATTCCAATTTGTTCCAAATTATTTGTATAAATGTCTAATCTTCCCAAAGATGCTTGAAGGAAAAGAATTCTTATTCTACATCCGGGTAAAGCCCAGAACACTGCTTAGTAGGCACTTAATATATGTCTGTTTGAGCTGAACTGGGCCAGTCTGGGGATGGTGGTGAAGTTCATGATTTCTCTGGAAACAGTATTTTCAGTAGAGTTTCCCTCTCTAGACTGTCAACTTCGTGAGGATAAAGACCACTTCTCTCTGTTTATCTCTGCATCCCCGCACTTAGCCCAGAGCCTGGCACACTGTAGACACTCAAAACATTTGTGTTTGGACGAATGGATGAATGAGTGAATGAATGAATGAATGAATGAATGAATGAACGAACGAACAGAAATCAGGAATAGAAACTCCATTACAAGGGATTACAAAGTAAGACAGAAGCAGCCATGTGGTTGGTTTATTGGGGGTTTTGACCAGGAAGGGGAGGACTTGAATGGTAGCTTGAGGGAGCAGCAAGGCTTAGGCAAGTTTTGTTGTTATTGCTGATGATTATTTTTTAAAGGAGAAAACTAGCATTTGATAGGCATTAGGGAAGGGGCCTACTCTACCTGAGCTGTGGCTTTATCTGGGTGTTTTTAATATGTGAAGCACTACTACAGTAAACCTTCAGTCATACTGAGATGGGCTGGAGGTGGGGGGTTGCTGCTATGGAACAAGGTACCAGCTCTCCCCTTGTGGCGGGAGGTGGCGGCCACTCTCAGCACCAGGTGGAAACCTCTCGGTGAACTACAACTTGGACTAGAGCTTAGATTGTTTTCTGTGCCATTATAACAAATTATCATCCTCATTAGGAGACCGACTTGATCATGTATGCACAGGTTATCATGTCCCTGAGAAGTTACAGTAACTACTGGCAGCCTCAAATGAGGCTCTCAGTACTGGCATTATACAGAGACTCCACCAGAATTGATACTTTCAACCTTGACTTCTCAGTCGCACCAGCTAATGTCTTCAGAAACCTAAATCCCTCTAATTTGCCAAGAAGGACAGAGGCAAAGTATTGACATTTAGACTTTAGAGGTATCATCATTTGGTTTCAGTAGCTAAAAAGCTAGGCAATTCTCCCAGTAAAAGGTGCTGGGTTTGTTTGTTTTTTGTTTTTTTTTTTGTTTTTTTAATCCGTAATTTGTCTGAAGATCAGAGAACTCCGATATAGGGTGATATTTTAATAAGATGTGTCCTAGACTACTGGCCCGACGTCCAGCACTTTTTGGAAAATGACCTTTTTCCCCCAGGGATGTTTCAGTTTAGGGTGGATGGATGATTTATCTTTCTCAAGTTCTGTCCGGTCCAAGTCCTTTGGTTGGTGTGGCTCTTCATACTTCAGCTCCTCTAACTTATTAGCCTTGGCAACTTTGGTTTTAGTGGAGAGGGAATATTGGGATATTCATTTTGATACCAAACTATCACTTCAAAAATTTTTATTGTTAAAGTAATTAAGCAGATACTTTTGACCCAGTTAGCTGAAAATTAACTATTTTTCAGCTAATTTCTCCTTTCCAGCCAAATCTAACTTACACAACTTGCAAAAGAAGTCTCTAAAGCAGATACCCATGGCTATCGCCTTGTTTTTCCTGTCCTATCTTAATGAGCTAAGTAAGGCTGTTTATGGATGATGGAACAGCTGCCAGATTCCACCCCCAGGGTGATCGCAGCTCCACTGTGGGAGAAGTGATGCTTAAAATTTGCATATTCTCTGTATACACACAGTAGGCTTATATATAGACACACATCCTTCTTAGTTTTAAAAATGACATTTCAAAACCCTACTTGCCTACTCAATTCTTTTGTAAGAAGGATGAGTGGGGGCCAGGTAGATGTGAAAATGGATTAGAGCAAGGCAAGAGAAGCGGTGGGAAGCCGAGGTAGGAGAGAGTTGCATTAATCAAGGAGGAGGATGATGGGAGCAAGGACTAGGATGGTATTATAGAGACGGAGGAAAGTAAACCGATTCAAGGTTATTTTGAGGTGTAATCTGAAGGACTTGGTGACGAACCAGAAGAGGGAAGTGAGGAAGAGATAAGGGTGAGGTCCCTGCTTCTGGTTTGGGCTGCTAGGTGGACAACAGTGCCATCCACAGCAATAAGGGATGTAGGAGTTCGTCTGAAGTCCAAAAACAGCAGATTAATTCAATTTCCTAGAGTTTAAGTTTGAAATGGCTGTGAGATGTCCAGAAGGCAGTTTGATATATGGGACTGAGGAGCAGAGGAGGGGTTGGAGATCATGACTGGGAGTCATGAGCATGAAGAAGATGACTGAGCCATGGGAGTAGGTAAGATTCCCCAGGGAGAGGACCTTGGACAAAACAGGAACACCAACATCCAGGGTGTGTGCAGAGGAAGGATAGCCAGCAAACAGCAAAATAGGTAGGGAAAATGACTATGTAAAGTGCTGAGGAAGGCAAAGAAAGATGAGTGGGGACATAGGTGGTAAATGCTTTCGAGAAGTCAAGGGATGTAAGAATTGAGAAGTATCCATTATATTTAGCAATAGGACAATCTTCACAAGCACTGCTTTTTGGAAGTGATAGCAAGATGGAAGTTAGTCGAGAAGTTGGTGAAGAGCAGAGGAAATGGAGACATGAAAATATTCAAAACACTGAAGGAGTTTGGCTGTGAGAGGAGAAAAGGGACAGGGAAGTAACATCAGAGGACTATGAGGGTTTTACAAATTGTTATATTAAGCATGGTTTGAATGCAGCGAGGAAGGAGTCACTAGAGAAGGAAAGGCTGGTGATGAGAGCCAATCTTCCGACTGGATGGAGGGTGGATACTCAGTAAAGAGAGAACCTTGACAAAGATGAAGAGGCTGTAACCAGAGCAGGACGGGAGGCGACAGTCTTCTTCTGTTGGAACAGAGATCTCAAATGAAGAACAGGGGAAGGAATCAGGGTGCCTCTTATCGCTCCCATCTGGTAACCTTGCCTTTTCAACTACCCAGAGGGCTCAAAAGGGTATTGTGTACAAATGTAATCTGAAAAAAATCACTGTTGCTAGATGATTACCCTAAAATCCCTAAAATTAAAGTAGCATATAAATATAAAATAGGCTAAATTTACATCTTTTAAATCAGCGTTTCTTTACATCTCTAACATGTTTTCAAAAATAAGCTACATGAAACATTGGCTTAAGCCACCTTTTTCTTAAAGGACAAATAGCCAAATGCCATCAGTAAGTCTAGCCATGAGACCATGAGTACAGAAATGTGTCCATTGAGGGGATTATGAAGAATTCCGTCCTGACTCAATGAACCAGATAATGACACCCTGGGCCAGACTAGCTGTGTCCGACACCAGCTGTGCATCCTTTCCTTTTTCCTTGTTAAGAGAAACCTGATTTTGTTCATTTCCAAGATGGATAGTGTTCTGGCCTAAGAGATGAGTCTTGTATTAATTCAAGCCAATCTGGTATAGAAATGGGCACAAGACACAATTCTTGCCAATAAAACTGCAAGGAGAAGTCTGTTAGAAGGGGAGGGGCTTCTAGAAGAGGTTTCCTCACTCTTGAGAAAAGCAGCACAAGAAAGAAGCATATGCTTTTCTACCTCTGAATGCATTTAGTACCTGGAACTATGGCGGTCATCACAGGATCCTGAGGGGAGCCAGCCCAGAAGGACAGAACAAAAGATGGAAAGGACTAGGTCCTTCAGTGGTGCCACCTGAACTGATCAATTAACCAACTCCAGAGCCATCTTTCCTTGGGATTTCTTGCTATGTGAAATAAGAAATGTTCCTATTTTTCAAGCCACTTATTTATTTATTTTTTTTAAGATTTATTTATTTTGAGAGAGAGTGTGTGTGTGCAGGGAGGAGGGGCAGAAGTAGAGGGAAAGAGAGAATCTCAAGCAGACTACACCCCCCAACCCCCGCTGAGTGTGGAGCCCGACATGGGGCTCAATCTCACCACCCTAAGATCATGACCTGAGCCAAAATCAAGAGTTGGATGCTCAACCGACTGAGCCACCCAGGCGCCCCCAAGCCACTTCTAATTGCAGTTGGTTAGTATGGCAGGATAGGGCCAAAATGATGGAACTACAACAAGCAGGAACTAGAAAAAGGTTGAAATCAGGAGAGGAAGTATTTGTCATCCTGTGAATAAGAATCTTTTCATTATGAGAAGCCGTTTAAAAAAAAAAAGAGGGAATAGTTCTGGTGGGAAGGATAAAAAGACTGGAGAAAGGGAAAGCTGCAAATAAAATATGAGACAAATTCCATTAATGTCCCCTGGCCCGCACCATCCTTGGGGAAATGAACTGTATTGTCTTTATCTCTCTCATTCCCTGTGTGTCCTTGATCATTAACTTTTACTTCTCAGTCTGTGACTCATTCCCAGGCTCAGACGTCAGAATTCTACTAATAGTTCCAGGGAGAGAAAAAAACACAAATACTAATTAGTCACTGAGGATATCCACTCCTCCACGGTCAAGCACTGACAGTTCATTCCATGGGCAAGATACTCTTCCCTGCTCCACCAAAAGAAGTCCAGATACCTCCAGGGGACAGATGTCTGTTTTACCAACACTACTGCCTCATCCACACCTAGGAATTTAAAAATCACCTCCTAAAGATACTTCACACACATCTAACCTTTACTACTCTGTAATCCTGTTCAAATGCCTCTAGGAAAGCTATGTCTGAATGCCCCTCCACCACTCTACCCCTCTGCCCTTGCCAATAACCACGAATTCATCATGCCTTAAAATAACATGGCTAATCTCCATCCAAATAAGCTCTCCTTATCAATTACTTAATTCTGTCTATGATGTGCAGCACTAGACAACTTGGGCTCATCCTGAAGCCTCCCTTTCCTTCATTCCCTAAAGTCATATTTTGAAGTAGCTCTCAGATTTGCCTACTCATTTCAATTCCCAGGGCCTCTATCAAGGCCCAGATGCTCTCATAGCCTCTGAATGGCTTCAGTCACATCTCAGCTCAGGATCTCTGATCCAACACTCGCTTTGTCAGCGTGTCACCTCTCCAAGAACTCAGGAACCTTCCTGCAGTGGCTCCCGCTCACTTACGGCACCAAGCCCCAGGCTCTTCTGGGCGGGTTTCAAGGCCTTCCCTAATCTGGATGAGGCTCCACCAAAGCCCTCCACTTTCTTCCGGTCCGCCAAGCTGGAGACTGTCAAACACCCACCCTGTTCTTCCAGCTCCAGGCTCCCACCATGAATCCCTCCTGAGCACCCCCTTCTCTGTTCTCCTGGTCCTTTGCGTTCCTCTAGGCCCAGCTCAAATCTACCTCTTCCCTGAACCCTCTGTAACTGCTCCAGCTCTTTCTTCTTTGAACTCCCAGTACCACACTCTTCGTAGTATCTAACTGTCCTAATAAAAATCCATTCTCTCTCCCTGGCTGGGCCACACTGCTTCCTATGCAAACCATGTCCTATCCTTCTAAATGTTCCTCACAGTGCCTGTTACAGTCCTGAACACTAGACAGGGATGAGATAACTATTTATTAACTGGATGATCAACATTCAAGGGGTACCTTGCCTCTTTTCCTTATCACTTTAGTTATTGAGGAGCCTGGGAAGAGAGCAGGGACAGCTACATCCTGCAGTCCTTGGAAAGCCCGACATGCACTCCAGATGATATCTGATACAGCTGGAGGGATCCCATTTCTGGAATGGAGATCATCATTTTCCAAGGAAGAATCATGGAGCTGATGGTTCCTATCAGTAAGGAGCCAGAGTGGAAGCCAGAGAGAAGCATGGGGCCGGGCGGTCTGGAACTACATTTACCACTGCGGCTTCCTCCAGTGGAGTCACTTGGTGCCAGGGGAGGTGGATGCGGCTTGTCCATCAGCATGCCAGATGAGGGGGCTCCTCCCAAGGGGACAGAGGGGATGGAGTAAGGGCCGGGGACACCGGAGACAGAGGGAGGGTACCCAGCCTTTGCTGCTTTCCCTGCTTCGTACACTGTGGAGGGAGATGAAGAGCAAAAGAGATTATATTATCGTCCCACCCTCCACAACCCTCACACCAAAACTGCCTGAGGATGCACTTAAGGGGGCGCCTGGATGTGTGCATGCACGCATGCATGTGTGCGTGCGTGTTCGCCTAGGCCTGAACCGATTCGGCAGAACCGCTCTCCCCTGCTCCCTTGGGCTCCTCCAGCCCCACCGAAAGGCGACGACGTAAGGAATTACAGTGTTTAGCAGCCGGCAACGGAGTGATGACGCAGCACCAGGAGCTGTCATGGCGGCCTCCGCAGTGACCCCAGCAGCCCACTCTTAACCACACTGTCTGTAGGCTGCCTCAGTCCCTCTGGAGGAAGCCTAGCCGCAGGCCACCCGGGGCTGCTTCCAGGAGGATCCTACACCTCTTCTAGAGAGGCAAGGCAGGCAATGAGCTTGCACGTGGCTCTGCTCTGTGATCTCAAAGGCAGAGCAAATAACCTGACTCCTCCTGGAAACTGCTTTATTCCCAAGGACACTGAAGAGACATGTATGTCTTCCTCCTTCAGGATGTATTTGGTTTCTGGCAGGGGGGCCCAACTTAGTGGCTGCACAGGCTCGGCCGGTAAGGCACCACTGTGAATCCCCAGATGAGGACCAGTCCCCCGGTGGACCATTTTGTCACGGGAATAAACAAAACTCATCCATGGCCGGATGGGATGCCAAGGCTGCCGTCTGCACACTCTGCTTGTAAAAAGAGGAGTTCTCTGCATTTGAGAGGCCCGAGCGGGGGAGGTTTCCTCCAGCCTGCAGGCCTGCAGAGAGGGCAAAAGCCTTACCCACAACCTGACCATCTGGAACCTGCCCTTCCTTTCATCGGCAGCGCCGATGAGAAATGCAAATGCAGAGGTGAGTGGTGTGGGTAAAAAGTAGGGAGAAGTGCATGCAGGTGAGAAGGCAAACAAGAATGGCCATCTCGGGGAGCCAGGGGCCCCCAGCAGAGCGGTGAGCCTGGAACAACCAACTTTTACGGTGGAAGGACAGGAGGTGGAGGAGGGGCTCAGGGCACACAGCTGTCTGATGGAGAGGTGACCTCCCCTGTGATCACTGTGTCTCCCGCACGGGCCACTTTACTCACAGGCCTGAGGGCAGCAGCAGGAATGTGGACAACACGGGCAGCGGACGTAGCAACAGCAGCTGTGTGGACAGCACTGGCACCAGCAGATCCCCACCAGGACGAAGAAGAGGAAGACTCCCAGGATCACCAGGCCAACAAACACCCACTCTGGAAGGACGCACAGAGAAACCCACGCTTGAGGTGGCCCACCGCCGGGACAGGCCCACGCTCATCGCTGTCTCCTGTCAGAGCGGTGGGGCGGGGGCGGGAGGGCGGGGGACCTGGGGCAGTAAGCATCTCATGACAGGGCACAGAGCCCCCCCAGCTCAGGAGGAGCTCGAGAGTGAGAAGTGACTCAACACGGCGGGGGTATGGAGAAGAGGAAAGAAGGTTGCCTAGGGTCATACTGAGCACATGGAATGACCAGCACAAGGTGGTGGGGGAGTTTCAGGGCCCCCTCCCGGGGAAAGGGTTTACCACATCAACTGTAGTGTCAGAACGAGTATGGAGCCAGAGCAGAAACACTCCTGGCTGGGGAGAGGAGGAATCTTGCTGGCTGAGCTATGAAGTGCTGGGTTCTGCGAATATGTTTGTGGTCAGGTTATTCTTACCCATAACAATGGGGGTCCTGAGAAAAAGTTCGCCGTGTCACATGGTCTAAATCAGAACATATTCAGGTGGTCCGGGTCTCCTACGTATTCATCGACCTTCCCTGCTGACCAAACCCCTCCCCCGCCCCATAACACCTGCACTCAGCATCAAGGCTGAGATCCAAACCTTTTGCTTTTATCTGTGGAACAAACCCGGGCTAGAGAAAACTGGACACAAAGACTCAGGGAGAGAATATGCTGTCCGCAGGCCCCAGGAGTGGCTTGGTTTGATGGCACTCGGGGTGACCATGCTAAACGCCAGCATAGCCAGCTCAGACGGCTCAGGGCTCTGACAACCTCACCGGCTGTTTGTTACCTTCTGCTCTTTTCACACCTCTTCCAGAGGCTGAACACAAATTCTACCTCATGTGCTCATCCACAAGATTCGAGAAAGGAAACAAATTCCATTTGGCTTACATAAAAATGACTGTGACCCTCGAGTGACTTTACGTCATGTTTTCGGGACTTGGCTATAGGACCCAGCTTCCCCCTAGAGGCCTGGGACAGACAGGAGTGAGCCAGGATTTCAAAGCCCAAAGATTAAAGTGATTCGTTCTGACTGAAAGCCACCCACCAGAAGTCCCTTCACAGTGAACTTCAAGTACATAATGTTTTGCTTGAATTTTGGTTATTAAATCTTCCTTCAATTAAATGGACATTCAGTTGGAGCTTGAAAATATGGTATTTTTGTTATATAAAGGGCTTTATGTTAATGTTAAAATTATCTGACCTTTGTTTAGAACATAATTTCCTCAGGAAGAAAACAAACAATTTATATTTCCTGAATGTCCCTCCTCACTCATCCATCTGAAATACATTCAAATTAACCAGGTCACCATCTCTTCAGTGAGGAAATGAGGTCTTGCGCCTGGTGAGAATGGTCTGGAGAGCATTCCTGCTGAGGACAGTAGATAGCTGAGGGCTTTGTCCTGGTCCTCAGCCACAACACAATAACATTACGTAGCCTGAGACAGATATGAGCCCCGAGGAACAGAACCATGGCGTGCCTCAGTGGCTACAAGAGGGTCGGGCAGTCAAGGATACAGACTGGCAGGCTACCTCGGAGAAACAAAAGAATGCTATCCATGAAAGGATTCTTGGGAGTCAAAAGGGAGGGACAGTCAAGGGGCAAGGACCAGATATGAAAAATACAGTAACTCTTTCTTGGGACTGGGACATATCTAGTTTGAAGCAATGCTTTGTAACATTGTGTGTGTGTGTGTGCATGTGTGTGTGTGTGTGTGTGTGTGTGTGTGTGTGATGAACAAATGGGTACAAACTGACAGAACTCTGGATAAGGGGGAATCACAAAGAGGTATCTATTTGTGTCCTTGGGATCAACATCAGTGTGAAGACTGTCCATATTTGGGTTGGCCAGCTGCTGGCAAAACAGGAGAATTCATGGAAGAATAATTAATCTCAACTGTAAAGACTTCGGATGTTTTAAAACCTGAATGAAGTCAACACCAATGGCCAGGAATATTTTGTATCTCTCTGTTGCTCCCAACTATTATACAGCTCTTAACCCTTTGGCAGAAGCCCTCTAAAGCAAGACTGAATCATAGTCTTTCCTATTCCCTGAGTTTGCACATGTCCTTTCCCATAGTTCACTCTTGTTTCTCTCTGAACCTCCTTCCATTACAGACTCTGGGGCTGCCCCGAACTGAGGTTGGCTTGTCTAGGCTGGTGCACTCAACTTAAGCTACATAAAATGACAGAGGTGTGCATTTGGGGTTTCCTTGACATATGGTCTATGGATCCCAGGGACTTAGGGGGCCCAAGAAGCTCCTGAAATTGCATACAAAGCAATGTAGGTCTGTAAATGTGTACTTTTCAAGGGAGGAGGGGTGCATTACTTTCATAAGGCTTGAAAAAATGTTTTGATAAAGTTATAAAAGGCAATTCAGAGTAACATGATTGTATACTAATGAATGGGTAAACATATAATTTAGGGAATAAGGAAATGCAGATAAATAATAACTCTGTTAGGGATACTTATAGCTGTCTAGATACAGTTGAGATACTGAACGGTTATGGAGATTGCCAAAGAGCCTGCCAGGCCTGACACTGAAGTACCGGGTCCCCACTGCAGCCCTATTTTAATTATCATTATTCTTTTAGGGCCTAGTAACAGAAGAAATACAATCTAAAGTCTTTTCCACTGGGCTTAGTTCATCCTGGAAAGGACCACAGAAACATACAGACAAATGTGCAAATAAATTAGAGGAGCAATTAGTGACTAAGGCAGAAGCAAGACAGATGGAGTGACAGCAAATTAAGCAAATAAAGAGTTAAATGACTGAATACCTGGCATAATCTCCACAGCAAAACTGGGCAAGAGATCAGCAAGCAGCCCTGTCCTGCCTAGAAGAGGTGGAAGGAAAAGAAGAAGGAAAGAGGTTACTCCAAAGGAAAATACTACTTCAAGGCTGGCTCCTGTTGGCACCAACCCTACCCACGGCCATGGACCCAGGCTCTTTGTGGTAGGAGAGACAAGTCACAGAGGCTGAGCTCAGTCAAGAGAAAAACTTTCTCCATCAATCTTTGGCAGCCATGTAAGTGAACTTTGCACCTAAACCAGATGGAAGCAGAACAGAACTTTCTCTCCAACTATTTATAGAAGGAGGAAATCTCTGCTTCAAATATGAAAAGCCCTGCTTGAGCAGACTGACATACACCATCTCCATTCATTTATACATTCTTCTCCACACATTTTATCGGAAAGTCAAACCCATCTGTATCTAACCGTGCAACCTACATTTTCATACATCCATACACAGTCCTATGTCCCTATCAAAACACAAGTACATATTTGGTTTTAACCCAGAATTGTCTCACTACATGATTCTATTTATAGCCTAAAGATGTTTCAATGATTAAAATTTTCAAAGGCAAGGAAAAGATAAAGCTAGATGACTTACACGCTCTTCTACACTCCTTCTGGTTTCAGAAATACTCCATACATATGTATGTGGCATGGCTTTTCCATATGGGACCCACAGCTGGCATTGAATGACCCCAAGTGCCTTCTGCATGATACAGCAGATGAGCTTAAGGGCTGGTGTCAGAACAGGTGCCCCTCGGGGCTCTGGAAGGCAAAGAGCTGCGCAGGAACCAAGACTGTGGGAGATGTGGGGGAGGAGGTTAGTCCTTTTAACAGCTAGCCTGATTTATAGAAAGCAGCACTGAATGTTTTCGCCATGTTCTCATATCAAGATAAATGTAAAGGCCCTGATACGACTTTTGCACCTGTCCCAGATGTTTCTGCTACACTGAAGCCTTGCTAATAAACAAGCTGCCTGATGAAGCAACTAGCAAACTGCCCTCATTTCAGACTTCTGATGGCAAAAAGCCACTGTGGTACCACCTAAGCATGCAACTGAATCTTACTTCACTTATGTGCATAACACACACCCCTAGAACAGCTCTGTCCAATAGAAAGATATTGTGAGCTACACGTTATTTTAGCTTTTCTAGCAATCACATTAAAGAGTATTTAAAAAAAAGAAAGAAATTTAATACTATGTTTTACTCATACCAATGTAGCCAAAATATTAACACTTCAAAGGCTCAGTAGCCACGTGTCAGTACTGAATACACAGTTTGACGGGTCTGTTTCATGCATATGGATTTGGCTCATTTAGTTCGTTGAGGTGCATTAGAAAAAAAGTTACCCACTTGTGTGGTTTGTATTTTGAATCTAAAGGTTGGTCATGATTGGTCACTGGTCCCCTCCTCTATCAAACCACTCCATAGAAAAGAAGCTCTGATAAAAGTCAAAGAAAAAGCAGCTGCTCCAGGACATTTACTTTTTCTTGGCTCTCCCTAACCATGCAAGGCCAGTGTGGTAAAATGTGCCCTGGTCCCATGTCCTGCGTGGGTAATGGTCCCTCATTTGAAAAATTAATTGGGACCACAATACATTCCAAGGTCAAGGAAGTTATAGAATGAGTGACTTAGGCTAGCTCTGTTTTAGGTTTTGGCAAGAAGGGCTTCTTTCTCTCTGTCTTCTATCTTGTGCAGCTAACATGCTAAGGATGGTCTGCTGTTTGCAAGGTCTCTTGGACGAACATACAGGAGCCAAGTGGAACATTAGAAAAAGGCATCCTGAATGAGAATTCTCAGGCTAGCCTTTAGCCTAAGCCTTCATGAAATGCTAAGACGTGCCTCTGAGACTCACATATGGTCTAATCCAGTTCCTAGGATAGAATACCAGACAGGGATTTGGGACCAGAGTCTGAGCAAGTGATTAAGCGCATGCATTGGTCTCATCTGGAGTGTTCTGTGTACAAGTATCTCTTGGAAACTCAACAAGGAAACAACTGGTCAAGGATTGGGGAATTTGGGATGTTGGCCATCTCTTAAAGACATAATAATTAATATTAACTACCAGCCAATAGCCAGTGATCAAGAAGTCAATATACAGCATTTTAGCAAGCTAGTTATCGGATACTTACTTAATGGTGATTTAAAAAAAATTCAGACAATTAGCACTTCTGAATGTATCTCTTATTGTATCTAGTGAAATGAAAAGGCTTTTCTTGTGTCTACTCTTGAGCTCTCAAGCCTACCAATGTTTTAAACATCTCTAGATGTGCGATAGCCTGTAATTAACTACATTCATAATAGAAATATTATGGATGATATAAACTACAGATTTGTACACCCTCACAGGGAATTTGCCATGTGATAATTATTAACTATAAAAAAATCCATATATTCGGGCACCTGGGTGGCTCAGATGGTTGAGTGTCTGCCTTCGGCTCAGGTCATGATCCAAGAGTCCTGGGATCGAGCCCCACACTGGGCTCCCTGCTCAGTGGGGAACCTGCTTCTCCCTCTCCCTCTGCTGCTCCCCCTGCCTGTGCTCTCTTGCTCTCTTTGTCAAATAAATAAATAAAACCTTTAAAAAAAGAAAAAAGAAAGAAATCCATATGCTCAAGGAAAATATCGAGCTCATATATGTTCTATAGATGACATTATACTGGAGAAAGCAGTGGACTGGGAGTCAGGGTACTGGGAGTCAGCTTTGTCATTAGTTTACTTGGTGACTACCATAGGCAATCCTCTTTCTAGGTCTCAATTTTCTCATTAGTCAAATGAAGAAGTGATTGAATAAAGTGATCTGTAAAGACGGAGACCACATGTCCTAGTGTGTGCCCACTGTCCTGGTGTAAATCTTAATAGCACTACTTTTTACCCTCAAGGTGTCCTCTTTTGGACAATTAAGTATATGGTCCCCCTATCTATAATATTTTTGGCTCTCAAATCTGATACTCAACGATTAGAGTTGCAAACTCAGCTCTGATGTTTATAGGGACAACGGTAATGCAAGTAAATGCAGCTAGCCAAATGTAATCCAACAGGGAGCATTTGGGGGTGAAGCGAATGGCAGATTATGTGTCTAGAAGGGCTGCTACTACTCACCTCTAGCCAACTGCTGCCCCACAGGAATGTGTCTCCATAGCTGCAGGTCTTCCTATTTTTCAAGATTAGCCAGACACAGACTTTTGTGTGAAATATCCTGATTTTCAAATGTTGGCAACAGATTCATAGACTTTTTTAACACACTGGACAAGCCATACAAAATATATTTTGGGGCTGTATAGAGCCCAGAGATCACATACTTGCAACCACCAATGGGTATATACAGACCAATATATTTATGAGCATGTAAAACACAAAAGCTGGGTTTCCCCACAGGCTGTTTAGGTTACCTTGTTGGTCTTCTGACATTGTTTCTACACACAGAACGTCGGTGAATAGGAGCTCTGGGAACCTACGTTCAAATTAAAATCTGAAAGCAAGAGTATTACACACCAAACTGTTCGCCTTTCTTATTTCTGGGGAGCTGGAATGGGCATCATGGAAGAACAATGAAGGGATTTTCATTTCTAGGTTATATTTTTACATTTGTAATTTAAAAGCTTAAGGATAGGGTGGTATCAAAAATACAGACAGGAGATTCACAAAGCTTGTCACTCCAACAGAAAGACATACCTCAAGCTTCTCATTCTCCCTGAAGCATCAGTCGGAAAGATGAACTCTTCCCATAATGCACCTGTGTAGTGCTCGCCCCAGGATGGGTGACAGAATCTTGCCATACAGTGGGTGAAATTTAATGTCTTCAGAATTCAGGACATAGTAGGAGTTTGGGGATAGCAGACAATACGACTCTATCATGTCAACAGCAGAGAGTGCACAAATCTCTCTGGCTTTTATACCACAATTTATATTTTACTGGGACTAAAGGCATTTTTAAAAGTAGATTTATGCTGGAATCGTGTATTTCTGAAAATCACTTTGCTTCCAGCTTCTTGACTAACAATTCCTACGAAATGCTGTTGCCAGCTAGAAATGCTCTATCTTTTCTTCCTATTCTATCACATCCACTGAAGGTCTGATCTTAGAAAGTCCAAACAATTCCAGTAAATACTTTCCAGATTTCAGTAGCACTTTGCCAACACTTGTGAATCATTGCTATTCTTCCAGGATTCAGTTTAAGAGGGGCAATTACAAGTCACTTTAATTTCTGAGGAAAGGATAGAAAACAAACCCTGCAAATAGAAGACCACATCTATGCTTTTCAAACCACAGCTCAAACTATCAGTAGAAAATACTGTTTTTATGTAAGCCCTCAAACGGTTTTCCCCAAACCTTGCAGAATCCATTACTTTTAAGAAATTTCCACATGAATAGACCAAACAAATTAGGCATACTAATAGTTTGTACATGCACACACACACACGTGCCTGCTTCGTACAATTACCATCACAAACTTCGCAGCCAAAAACATTCACAATACTTTGGTTGAATGATCAGGGCAGAAACATGCATTGTGAATAAAACGACCCTGTATCTTACCTATATAATTCCCTATTTCAGCTGTTTCCTACCACTGACACATTGAAGTTATCCCCAACTGAACTCTTTTGTACATATTCCTGAAAACCAGCTCATTTCTGGAATGTCTCCAATTCATTCACTCATCATTCAGTCAACCAAGAAATGTGGACTGTGCCAGGTGGAGACACAGAGGAATAAGGAGTGAACGCTATGCTTGAGAGGCTCACCGTCTAGCCCATGCAGCTTGTCCAACAATGTCGATCTAAGAACCAATTGTAGTTACCTGCTTCTGTTTCACAAACTTATTAAGGTCAAAGGACTTTCCTCCTGCCAAATCCAATTATCATCAGTTTTGTTTTGTTTTCCATTTTTGACATCAGCTTCCACCTGGTCATGAGGCCTTTCCCCAGAAACACAGTCCTTGCCTGTTTTCCCACTTCTCTTCTCCCCATGGCCTTATCTTTGCACATTCTACAATGAACCACGTCCTAGTGACATTTCCCCAAGGTTCAAATGCT